TTGTATCAACAACATATCAAAATTGACCAGTTTTGATGAGAAATTCAAGAACAGAATATGAACATTTCAAAAACACAAATCACCAAAAATTCAAAATTGATTCTTGAAATCAATTCAATTATGAAATTGAATGATTCTAATCAATTCCAAATGAAATTTCGCATACAATTCAATCAATCAAACATCAAAATTCAAACAAATTATGAGAGTTTGATTAGAAACAGTGAGTAGAAAGTGTCGATCAAGAAAATGTCCAAATGTGGTTCAATTCTAGTCCGATTCAATTTAAGTTGCTGTAATCTACGCTGTTACCAATTGATAATCCCAAAAATTGATTAATCAATAACAAGAATTCATGATTCAACAATGGCATATTGTAGAAAGTAGGAAAGTAGAGAGAGAATACTTCAAAGCTCAATTGTATTAATCTTCAAAGATTACAAAATGACCAAAGCTACTTACAAATTACAAGGAAGAAACTATTTATACAAGAACACATTACAAGAGAATAGAAAGCTTGAATACAATATTTTAATACAAAACATTGAACCCAACACAAGGTTTAAAAATATTAACTATAGATGATGATTGTATAATTAGCAATAGAACAAAGAATGTTGGTTATAAAGAAGTATTTGGTAATTTATGATATGTGGTTCTTTATTTTATTTATATGAAATTATGTACTTTTCCATAATTTCATTTATGTTCTATAATAAATTTTGTCTTACAAATTCTTGATAGTTATTCATATTTTTATTAATTTTTACAAATCCTAAAAACAATTCTGAAGGAAAAAAAGTTTCGAAAAGGAACACCGTACGTTCGGTTATCATTCATATTTGTAACATAAGTTTTCTGACATGGTTTAATTTTTTTAAATCACCCCGCATAATATAAGTGTTCGAACCTAGTGTGTGTGTGTATATATATATATATATAGGGGCCTAATCAAATGAGAACTAATTAGTTTATGGTAACTGTGAGCTCGAATATGAGCCAATCATTTTATTATATTAAGTGTATTACCTTAATTAAGAAAAAGGGTATATTAGTAATTTCTTAAAGGTTATCAATCAAAAGATTGGTACTGTTTCCTTATTAATCAAACAAATTATGAAAGTTTCTTTCTATGAAGTTATAATTGAAAAAAATAAATATATAATTTCTTACAGTTAAAAGTTATTAGGCATCGCAGTGGTAACATAGTGGTATCACAGTTGTATTCATCAACCAGATTTGGTATCATAGTGTGTATCACAATGTATTTTTGTCGTTATACGAAGTGTATCACAATATATTTTTGTTGTTTTATGAATTGTATCACAATATATTTTTGTTGTTTTACGAAGTGTAACACAATATATCAGGTAATGTTTTCTTTACCAAGTGTATAACACTGCGTTTTTTTGTTATTTTATGAAGCGTATCGCAGTGTGCATCATATGTTGATATGGTGTTCGTTGGAAAGAGTTGAGAGTTTAGAGGAGAGAGGAGGAGTCTAGAATGACTAAAATGCCCTTAATTAATATTTTAAGTTAAAATCACCAAAATTATTAATTTCCTAATTTAACATTTGATTTGTGTTGAGGTTGGATCTCACGGTTACCATAAACTAATCAGTTCTTACTTGAATGGACCCCTATATAGGGGCTTAATCAAATAAGAACTGTTTTGTTTATGGTAACTGTGAGATCCAATCTCAACCAATCATTTTAATATATTAATTATTCTTTTTAAATTAATGTAAAAAGGCATGTTAGTAAATTACTAAATTTAGATTAAATATTTATTTATTAATTCCATACGTTTCAAACTTTCAATTAATTTTGATTTTACATTCCTAAATTACCACATGAAACCATAATCTTTTGGGTAGCACATGAAACCACAATCTTTTTTACCACAATGTAATACAACATCTTGTGTTAACTAATACACTATTGGTATTGTAACACCTTGACCCGCATCAGTAACTATTGAAATTTGTAGCCCCTTATGACTTATGAGTTCTTGGTTGTAGGCTACCAAAGAATTCTCATCATGGGTTTAGCGGTTTGGAGGTTGTCTTGTATGGTTTGCTACCAAAGAATTCTCACCATGGGTTTAGTGGTTTGGGTAGCACATAAAACCATAATCTTTTTTATCACACTATAAAACAACATGTTCAACCAAAACCTACAAATTGTTTTCCACCTCTTCTCGCACAACCAATAGGATCTTTGTGTTTTTTGTTTTGATTTGATGAAATGTAATTTTAGAAGATTAACAAATTTTTAGGGCGTTCAAAATAGTCTCATTAAATTAAAAAAATTTGACCTTTTTGCCCTTATTTGCATATTCACATTAAATATTGGAGAGTTATTTTTGGAATTTCAGTAATTAATTTTTCTTTTATTTTCAACCATTGATTATTAATTTGTGTGGTTGAGATTGGATCTCGCGGTTACCACAAACAACTCAATTCTTTCTTGAATAGGCCAATATATATATATATATATATGGCTGGGTTCAAATAAAAATCACTCAATTTGTAAAAACCGTGAAAACCTCATTCAACCAATCATAATTTTTTATTTTGTTCATTTTTTTTGTAATTATGAAAGGTTGATTAACCATTTTTATTGTGGAGGGTGTTAATCATGGATATTATCATCTTTATTATTTTAATTTTAGAGAAATACATGAAACAGTTTCATTAAAATTTCATTATGTAGCATATAAGATTAACAATTTTATGAAAAAATTTCATAAGATTAACGATGGATGAGAGTAGTTTTTACGGTTTTTATAAATTGGAGTGGTTTTCATTTGATCGCTCCTATATATATATATATGAACCATTGTGTCAAATACAACCAAATACAAACAAAAATTTAAATATATATAAACTTGGACTGCGTAGCATTTATGAACATAATAAGAATAGCTGCTACACGAAAGTAAATAGATAAAAAAAACAGGTATGAACACAATATGAACAGATTGTGAACCATAGTTCCTTCATTATAAACACATTCAGGAGCGAGCCAATGTTAGATATGCAGCTAGTGTACATATGAACACAATATAAACACTTGTGAACAATAGTTTCTTCATTATGAACACATTTAGGAACGAACCAATGTTGAGATATGCAGCAACTGTACATATGAACACAATATGAACAGCTTGTGAACAATAGTTCCTTCATTATGAACACATTCAGGAGCGAGCCAATGTTAAGATATGCAGCTAGTGTACATATGAACACAATATGAACACTTGTGAACACATTTTGACCTTCCCATTGTTGTCGAGTTGTTTTCCAATGAGTTTATCCATATTAGCTTGAACGATATCGAAAATTTTATTATTGGGTTTCTTTTAACAATCATAAATTCAAGAACATTATAGATAGATAAATTAATATTATAAAAAAACAAGATCAATAGTAAATCAACAACAATTATGAGATTTTTTGATTTTGTAACTCCTATTAATGATATGAGAGTTACATACAAACTAAAATTACATATTTACCCTTGTCATTAATTATGAGATGGATATGAACCTAGATAAAAGATGAATTTTCATTGGTTGAGCTTGGATAACAAAATTAACACAATAATCTTGGTTAACATTTGAACCAATCTCTCTCTCTCTCTCTCTCTCTCTATATATATATATATATATATATATATATATATACAATCCAGTCCCCGTTCACTGAATACATCTTATATATATAATAAAAACTAAAACGGTACTATCACAATGCAGCGAGATATATCTTCATTTTAATGTTTCGTTTTATTTTTTTGTCTTTGTTGATATAATACGATTTATGTGGTTTTGAGAAATATAATGTTTTTACGATTTAGTGAAGTAATTTATTTTTGGTTTAACAATAAAATTTTATAAAGATAATGATTCCGTTAGAACTTAATGATTATCCTAATTATATTTTAGATTTTTTATATAAAAAATGAGATGTTTATCTTGTATTTGATTATGTTTATCTGCAGTTAGTTATACGAATTTAAAAATGAAGCTCTAATAAGTTGTATGTACGCATATTTTACTTGTAATCTTAAATTTTAAGTAATATGTATTAATATACACATGCATAAAGAATGGTTTTAAAGAGTTTTTATCAAATGCTTTATAATATAGTATAGATATCCAAACCCACCTCTACCTTAACCAGTGAAGTGGTTTTTCGACAACACAAATTGAAAAGTGTCGAAAAATAAAATTAAAAAAAACTTGCCAAAAAGGAACATAAATCAAAATCTTGGCATCTTTCGCATTACAAAGGGCCTTCTATTTTGTATTCTGTTTTATTAAATGTCTAACTCAGTGGTATTTCAATTAATTACTACACTAACTACAAGGTGGTGCCTGATTGGTTTGAGCCTTAGCTCTAAAAATCAAAAGTACGTGGAGTGTCCAGGTTCAAATCCAAGGAGGAATAAAAATCCCCTTGTAGCCATGAAGGTTCAAATGCAGTGATTTCGGGCTATCTGCTGCAAAGCAGGTGGTCGTACTGGGATTAGTCGGCTCGCATAGTGGGTTGGATATCCAGGTTAATCAAAAAAATTACAACACTATAAAATACAAAGGGGAGAATCATTATTTTGTTCACTGTTTCACGTTTGCTAAATGATTTGATGCACAATGATTAGGTGGTCAAAATGATTAAGAGACTCCTACTACAAAATCATTCAGAGGGTTTTGGAATCATTAAGAGACAGACTTTTTATTGCCAAACAAGATTCACCTTTTAACAATTCAGAACTTGTCTCTCAATGGAACTATTAAAGGGGAAACAAACAATTTTTTCTTCAAATCAATCTAACAAAGATTCCAAATTTCTTCTTTTTTACCCATTTTAACTGTTAACCCGCTAGCTAATCTAATCCGGGATGACATAGATATCAAGTTTATCATCTATTTTGATACAAACCTTTCTGAAACAAGTATTCATATCATAAAAGATTATAAAATCAACAAGTCACTAGTCCCAATGGGTACAAAATAGAAAATATTGAAACGTTGTTACATTGATTGGAAAAAAACACTAATCGTTACACTAAACTGAACTTTGTTGGGAATTTCCTAAAATAAAGAATGAATAGGTAACCAATTTTCTGCATAGAGTGATTCAAATTTCTAATCATTGCATAACCAAAGCAGAAAACTACAGTTAATCATCACATGTTTACATCTTAGAATTCAAACCTGTTTCACATATCTGAAAATTCAGGAAACTGTTTTTTTGGCATCTTCGTTGTCGTCAGAATCTGTGTCGAGATGGTCAAAGAAATGATCCAAGTACCAGGGGCATTTCTCCATCATCACACCTCTTGTAGCATTGGCCCTGCATTTTTGGTCAGCTATCATCTCTGCCGATAGTCCCCACTCCTGCATCTCTTCATCGGAGTGGTAAACAGCCAGACTGTACTCACCACCATCTCCTAACTGCATTACTCGAAACTCACAGTTGTTAAAATTGTTTAGGTACTCAAATTGTTCGACTGTCCACTTGAACCACTTCATTAGAAAGACCCGTGAAGCAAGTCCATGTGAAACTATAATGATATTTAAATCGTCTGAGGGATCATAATGGAGCCTGCTGTCAATATCCCTCCATAAAGATTCCAGAAAGCCTGCACTTTTGAACGGAATAATAAATGAGAATGCAATTGTTAGGAAATTCTAGATACAGATTCAATCTGTGACATGGTTCTATTAGTGTTAGTTACTGAGGTTTGATGACATTATTCCACCAAGATTCAAAAAAGCCAATTTAATTTTGCATATAATATAAACAGACCCGGTCTATCCCACCCAAACGTAGGGCCGTAGAATCACAAAAATAAAAAGAAACACGACTACAAAGCACAATGATAGGTCACAAATAAGCAACAGAGTTATAATTCTTTACATACAATATATTCTGTAATATTCACCCAGGAACACATTAGGATTTGTTTGATGTAAATGAAGAGAACCGAAGAATCAGACATCTATAAGTGATTGGGGAACTCAGTTACGCAGGTATTCGTAAGCAGCAGTTGTGTTACACTTTTGAATACTAGTTAGAGATGAAATCAATGAAACCTAATCTGAGTTATATTAGTAATATGTTGTATTTAGATTGGTTATAGCCTAAGTAAGTTGTTATGATGCTTGATTGATGAAATGGAGCTTTCGAAAATGAAGAATATAGGTTGAACTTTGATTTTCTTTACTAATGGCTATTTTGGTGAAATTCTTGAGTATTGATCTTGTAATCAATAATATAAACATGGTTAGATGGTATTTTGATTGTTGGAATAAAGATTGAATCAAAAATATGGATTTTAGCCTATTTAGTTGGTGAATTTGACAGCACTGAATCTATCGAGATATTGTTTTGAATGTGCGATAACTTCTTAACCGTAGCTCGGATTGCTACGATTCTGGACATTTTAGAAAGCTTATATGTAAATCTAAACCTGTCCTTTAGACATTTTTTAGAAATAAGGCTTCTAGGTTGGTTATAATTGCGTCTAAAAACTGATAAAAAGTTGATTTTGAGCTGTGAATTATAGTGCCTAAAATGAGTTTAAATTAAGTTTGGTTAAGTTTTTGTTGTCGGATCTTTATGAAACTTTGGGTACATATTACAGGTGTTAAATAAGCTCACTTGGTCCTTCCAGAGTGACCGTTGGACGACGTTTAGACATATATGGACGTAGAACCTAATTTGGCTCAATTTTTTTGAATATCGAAAATCACTGTGAGTTTATGGGGCTACTTAACTTGCTATTTGTTAGACATGTGTTATCTATTTGCTACTTGCTTCCACACTCATCCATGTTATGTCTCCTTATCAATTTCAAGAGATTATTGACTATTGCACTCCGTCCTTCCATACGTGCTACTCGGTGGTTACTTTGTGTTTCACCCGGGGAGGCACGCTTAAGCCCATATCAGCTGAGATTACTCGGGTATGGTGCGTATTTGACCGTGTTAGAGTCCGGTCATTTTCCCCACTGTCCGGGATAGCTMGGGTGGRAAGATCATTCCACTGGCCGGGATAGCTCGGGTGGTATGAAATCTATGATATATATTGTTGTACTTGCCACGACCGGGATAGCTCGGTGGCAGTACATATCAATTATTGACTTTCACACGATCTAGTTGCATACTTTGATATTCAGAAGTATGATTCTCGAATGATGATTACTTGTTACATGATTTACATCCTTCATGATCATTGACTTCCATGGATTACATTTGTGAAGCTTTAGTAGTTAGTAGTTCCCGTTTACTCACTAAGCATTATGTGCTTACCCTTTTAGTTGTTCACATTTTTACAGGCCGTGTAGATAAGGCAAAGGACAAGCTCGGGTAGATTGAGATCTTTGCTTTTGGTGCTTCCAGTAGCACGACTCTTTTGGTATTATATAGTTAGTCGAATACAACTATGGATTGTAAATTATTAGTTGTCTTTTGGTTGTAACTGCAAGTCTCTAGATAACAGGTAGCTAATGTCCTTCGTCTTGTATATAGTTTAAGCTTCTGCAAATCTATTAAGTTTATTTTGTCCGTTTTAGGATATTTTGGAAATCAGGTGCTTAGGGAAACGTCCTGTAAACCAAGCGGACATTTCGAATTAGAAACTCGTAAATATTATATCCCGTTTGCTTTCTAATGGTTTAAAAATGTAACTTTTGGTGGTTTGTTTATCATTTATAGAAATGAGGTATTCAACCTGGTATCATTTATGTAATATGGGTCTTTCAATTTGGTGTCACTCGGAATTTCATATAAGACAAAAAGGCTTCATGTATATCAATAAGCCATTCGTCCAAAATAATTGGTTTATAATGATAAAGAGGTGAACCAAACTAGGTTCAAACTTCGGATATTGCCTAACCTCCTATCTAAAAGGGCTCAAACTTCGGATCTTTTGCCTGTTTTTTATGATTTTGAGTTGTGTAATACTAGGATCTGTATTTCCTAAGCATTCTGACCCTTCAAGTAACCCACCCACTACACTAAATGCCATATCCTTTTGTGACCCACTCACCAAACCTTTCTTTCAAGCACCTTCAAGGTTTGATCAGAGAGATACAAGGAAAAAAGTTGAAATAAATATCATGGTTTTACAAACCACACCATGTGTAAGGCTATGTTGTGTTATTTATGTTCAAGTTAGGAGATTAATTTGTAAACCATCATGCCTTATTGAGTTTATAGGTTTGTGTATGGTTGCTATATCACTCGCGAATATAAATGTACAATTGAATATTATCCCGTCAACAGTGTGGCTAGTCTGAGATCCTATCTTAGCCAATCATGAACTCCTTCGGTATATTTCAATGACTTAAATCTCTCTTCCCCACGAGTCTTCTATCTCTTCATTGGTACAGGTTATTCAGAAATCAACATTGGAGATGAAAAAACCATCTCAGGTCATATTGCCACTACTGTCTCCCTTTGTTTCTTGATCCCCTTGATGTGTGGCTACATATCCACCTTACTATTAGCACTTCTCCATATCAATATTATGAACATTTCTTTTGTTGGCTCAACATGTTGCTCCTGCCATCTTCTAAAGCTTACCATTATTTCTTATCACATAAACCATTCTCGTCTTATCTTATGACTAACATCATCATCAATCTAGCAGCATCCCAGATAATGAGTGTGGATGCTTCCTTTCAGACATTATATTCTACCTCCCTTTCAGTCTTGCTTAAGTTACATTGTTTCTTATCTATCTTAATTTACAACTTTTAGATTATAAGGTGTTCCTTCAACCTCCAACCTTGTATAATCCTCATTTCTTAGCCTCATCGATCAACAACTTAAAGAATAAACTTATGAGCCATTCAAAACTAAGAACCCAAAAAAATCATTCAACTATGACATTGGCGTATTAGTATAAGGAAAACAAATGTCAGGCCGTCAAATGCTTTCATGCTTGTTACTCGTGCATTTCTTCAATAACATTCACATTGCTATCATGAACCTTTTCTAGATCAACAACCACCATATGCCGATTCTTTAACCAAACCAAACCAAACCAAACCAAACAAACCCAGTGCATCCCACTTGAAAGTAGGGGGGATGCATACAGACTTGATCTCTACCCGGAGACCTCCAGTTTGTGTAGAAATGGGAGGGAAAAGGAAATACAAACTAAAACTGGTTAGAAGGAGTAGAAACACAAGGAAGAAAGGAGAAAGAAGCACAATGAAACATAAAGAAAGCAAGCAAATCACACATCCTCCGACCATCGTCTGACTCTGAATACCTATCCCACCCTCACCCTCAGAAAACACAGATGCTCAACAAGTGTAATTGTTCTGATTACATTTGTTATTCATCTTTTACCTGAAAACAAGGCCTCTAGTAAACAAGCTATAAAAGATGAATACAGCTCTCTCTAGCTAACCTGGAAAAAGTCAACAAGCCGCCTTCAAGGGGCGGTAGTCTCCCTCTTAAGGTCGGTTGAGGCAAGACCACTTTCAGGCCAAGTCATATTAACTAGGGGTTGTCTGGAATTGCTTATTTAAAGTGCTTATTAATTTATTGTGGTCCACACCGGTAATAAGGAGTTTTTACTGTTTAGAAATAAAAATAAACACTTATACCGGTTTGGCACCATTAATAAGGAGTTTATGATAAGTTATTCCGTTCTAACTTATTAACTTATTTCGGTATGGTACCGGTAATAAGGAGTTTTTACATGTATAAGCTAATCCAACCACCTTATTACATTTATAAGCTAATTCAAACACTTTTTATAAAACTCCGGTTTGTCACCACATAAGTTGATAGTTGATATCACATAAAGTAAAATAGGCATACCAAGAATGATTCTCCAAACCTTACCACAATCTATTCCAGTTTAAAATTTGGAGTTCCTTCCAATACAATTTTCTGAAACATCCCTAGTATTATATTGTAGTATGTAATTACTGATCCTCACAAGATAAACAACCATGGTTAATCCAATATAACATAGGACTAGAAAAAATTTCACCAAGGCTTGTCGGCTTTGATCACAAGCAAGTAATCCGATTCCTAATGGAGCCTTGTACTATATTATTGACTCGAACAAGTAAGATTTTGATCACAAGCAAGTAATCTACCAGTTGAAATAGGAATAACAATCGAGTGTTTCCTCCATCAAATGCCATTGAACTAGAAAGCAAAAAGGCAAACAGAGTTGAAGGGAAGAGAAAGCTTACTCGAAACACGATCGAATACATCCGCAGCAGACTCACCCTCAGGAAATCGGTAAAAGAACCTACCAAATCTCTCTCTAGTCTCCTTTATAACCTTCATCCTCTCAGTAATCTGAAAATTCCCAAAATCCTGTTCCCTAATTCTACATTCTTCTCTAACCCCAATTACTCTCTTTCTAGGAAACGACCTCCCAATTTCCCGTAAGGTTGACCTAGTTCGTTCATAAGGCGATACATACAAGCAAACCTTCCAGTTACGGAGTTTGCCGGAGTCGGAGATTACATCTCGGATCTGGGTTCCGGCGAGTTTGGCCTGTGCGATACCATCTGGGGTAAGTGGGATCTTGTAATCTGGTGTTGTGGTGTAGGCTGAACCGTCAAGATTGCCTGCGCTCTCGCCATGACGAACCAATATTATTCTCTTGGGAAGGAATTTATGCTGGTCTTGATTGTTCATTTCTGAGATGTAAATTGATTCCAATCTCATCGACGCCGTAGCTCTAGATCAGATCATTTATATATACGAATGAAGATACCGATTGAGTTTGCGTGATTCGCGCGATGAGGATACGAATTTGTCAAATGGTGGGCTGGGAATGGGAACGGAAATAGCTGCCATTTGTGGAATCTGTTCTGCCAGCCACGGAACATTGTTCTTGACCCATCATCATGACATTACATTTTTGTTATGAATTTTAGGTTGATCATATAAAAGGTCAACTCAAATTATGCATTGTTGCATGTGAGAGGAAATTATTAGTCCATTGTTTTTCTGATTTATTCGAGGTTGATTTTTCTCGTTCAAAAGAATTCGATTAATTTTGAGTCAAGTGGCATACATTTTCTTTCAAACCAATCTATGTTTCTAGATTATACAATAAAAATATAAAAATAATTGTACAATAGGCACTACTTTTGAATAATGTTTTTTACCTGAAAATTTGTGCCAAAATAGTTAAATTATGAAGAATAAAATAAGTAATTCAATTATACATTATTAAATACTTCATTCGTTTCAAAATAAATATTCAAAATAAAAAAATACACAGTTTTTGAAATATGTAATTATTATATTTTTTTAATTAACTAAAAGACGATTTACCTTTAATAATAAAGATATAAAATTCTTTATCTCATAATAAACAGAAAAATGAGAAAATAGGTACTTAATTTTGAAAATAAACACTTAAGGCTGCTTGGTTTGAAGAATGTTTTTTAAAGGAATAAAATATGTCGAATGAATTAAAATCTCGTAGAAAGTGAAATAAAATGTTACCAAGTTTGACCAAGTGTTTGTTTGATAGGAAATGAAATGTAATCTATCAGATGAATTGACATCTTGATGGTGGTGTAAGGCCAGGCCCGTTCCTGGTTTTTTTTGGTCCGATGCGAGATGTGAAAAGGTGTCCTCGATAAGTACGATATTTTTTCAATATATTGGCTTTATCATCAGAAATAACATCAATACTTGTTGGGTCACCTATTGATTTGGTGATGACCCACTGATTTGTTCCTCTACCCTAGCAACACTTAGTAATTATAGGTTCTTTGTATATTGGTGTCTGGGTACATACTTAAGCCATTGGCAAAATCGAAGACTAGCCAATGTGAAAACAGAAGGTTACTGATGCGGTGTTGTGGATCAACTGTCTAATATACACACCACGACTCCAAAATAGCTGAAATGAAGATTGAAAATATTTTGAAGCTACAAGCCGATTGAAGGAAGATCTTCATGGACCGAAGATTGAAGATCTTCATGGACTCAAGATTGAAGAACTTCATGGACCAAAGATTTGTGAGTAGCTGCTTGAAGCTACTAATCCATCCAAAGAAGATCTTCCTACAGACTGACCATATCTCTACAAAAGTTTGTCTCTGCATGAACAGTGTTGCATGTATGTTGTGTACGATGAAAATGAGATATCAACAATGGTCAAGTCAACTCTTGCCTTCTTATCCTCAAGTGACAAGTGTCCCCATGCATTTAATATTGAAGGTAGTATAAAAGGCAGTGTGCTTCTCTCATGCACATCATTGGCTTTTTGAAAGATTACTTAGTGCATTCTCAAGGCAATCGGCTATTCTCTTCTACTCCCTTGCTCTCCTGTGTGCGAAGAAAATCTTAGTGTTCTTCACTTCCTTTCAAGAACTCTTTGTGTTGTTCTTGTAAGTTCTTCTCCTTGTAAGATTTTTTAGGTTAGGTTTTCCTTTCCTATCTTCCGCAACAATCTTTTGCATCTCTCTGTGTGTTAATTCTTGATATACATCAATAAGAATTAAAAAAAGTTAAAAAAAAGTCTTTATAATTGTATTTAACCCCCCCCCCCCTTCTACAATTACTTTTTGTTTATTGCCATCCCCTTCGGGACTAACAAGTAGTATCAGAGCAGTTAGCTTAATCTCATAAGGTAGATCTACAATGGCCTCTTTTTCTTCCAACACTGCTCCTTCTTCTTACCAAGACAACGACACTATTGCCAAGCCTCCCAAGTTTAACAAGAACAACTTTCCTATGTGGAAAATCCGCATGACACTCTACCTTGAGGGTGTTGATAGTCATTATCTCTCTATCCTCAAGGATAGACCCATTGTTCCTAAAGTATGGCTTCGTCATGGAAAGAACAAAGACGAAGGTAACTCTTCAAATGATTCTGATGATGCTGAAAAGAAATATGACTCTACTGGAAGGTTCATCATCAAAGATCCTTCACAGTACAATGAAGATGACAATAGAAAAGTTTCCTTGGATACCAAGGTAAGGGCTATCATTTCCCTCTCTCTTCCTGATGATGTCTTCCACTCCTTGGTAAACCTCTCTACTGCTAAGGACATGTGGAACACTCTCTGTGTTCTGTATGAAGGAACCATCGAAGTAAATAAAAGCAAGAAGATTGGTCTCGTTAGACAATATGAGCTCTTTGTGCATGGTAAAGTTGAATCTCTCATTGAGTACTACAACAGGTTTAACAGCCTTCTCAATGATCTGAAGTTTCATGGCAGAGTCTATGAAAATGAAGAAGTCATGTGCAAGTTTATGGACTATTTACCAGACTTCTGGAAAAAAACATTTGTACTTGTATCAAGACAAGCAAAGATCTTGAAAATATGCCTCTTACTGCTCTTTATGGAACTCTCCATAATTATGAGCAAACCAAGCCTCTGAAAAAGGCATTATTAAAGGATTCCAGAACTTCTTCTCCTGTTGCTCTTCTCTGCAATGATACGAGGAAGCTGGTCAGTGAACCTCGTATCACTTATCTGACTGAGTCTGAAGAAGATGCTGTCAGAAAAGAAGAACTTGCAGAAAGCTATGCTGATGATACTGATGATGAGGGCGATAAACCCACAGTTAATGAATTAGCTGACAACATGGCCATGATGGATACCAACTTCAAAAGGTACGCCAAAAAGGGTTCTTCTAATTTCTCTTCTAGATCTAAGGTCACCGACCACAGAACCTTAGATCAACCTAAGTCAGCTCCTCTTGATCTATCCAATGAGGAGTGCTTCAACTGTGGCAAGAAAGGTCATTTTGCTGCTGAGTGCAAAAGCAAAAAGATCTCTAAGCATCATCCTTCTCAACCCTCTAGCCGATCCTCTCATGACAAGTACAAAGCAAAGTASAAGAGAGAAAAGGCAAAGAACCAGAGCCTTCAGAGAAAAGGTAAAGGTCTCATGGCTGAGACTCATGACTGGATTGATGAGCCAACCTCTTCCTCCAGTGATGAGGACATGGCACATCTGTATCTTATGGCCAAAATTTAGGAGATAGAAGACTCTGTCAAGGGATCCTCCTCTACTGCTGCTGTTGATGTACCTTCTACCTCCAAATGCCAAAGATCTGGTCAAACYAAAGAAGGTAAACAACTTCTCTTCTCTCTCTGAATCTGAAAAGGTTCAAGCTTACGATTCTTTATCTGTTGATCTTTACAATGCTAGATCTGCTAAAAAGAAAGCTGATCTTGAAATCAAAAGTCTAACTAATCAATTACATAAATGCATGAATCAACTAAAAGACTTTGATAAGTTGAAAAATGACCTAAAAGAACAAAAGTTAATAAACAATGTTCTTAATAAAAAAAACTATGGTCTTCGAGAAATTGGAGAAAGAAAAAGTCGTTCTTCAAAAATGGGCTAGATCATCCAAGAACCTAGATAAAATTTTACATTATCAACTTCCTAGTGAAGTAAAGACTGGCCTAGGTTATGATGATCTGGATCCGTGTGCTCCTGATGACTCTATGTGCATTTCTTCTCACATTCACTCTTCCTCCTCTTCATCTCATTTATTTAATTCTGTTGGATCTCTTTCTCCTAGATCTAATGAAAATGGAAAATCTCTCAAGTTCGGAGTAAGTTCAAACACTAAATCTGAAAATGTTCCTGTCGACTGTGTGTTTAACTCTCTCTCTCTCTCTAATGGAATCTCCTGATGCATGCTCATCTAAATCTAAAACATCTGAGCATCTGAATCATCCTTTGAATCGTTGTTTCTCTGCTGCTGAGAAAGGTAAGTCTGTGGACAAGCCTATCAAGAATAAGAAACCAAAATCCAAACTCAAGATGAAACATAAGCCTTCGGCTACCTCATCTAAGTCAGTTGTTGCTTCTCAGTTTGGTACCTCAGTACCTTCTACTACTGAGTTCGTTCCTCGTCCAGTATCCTTGAAAAAGACTTCCAAGGTTTCTATATCTTCTCAAAAACCAATCCTTGGGTCTGAAAAAGGGATTTTTGGTCTAAAACCCTCTTCATCCTCTGTCCCTCTTTCCAAAGCTTTGTCTTCTCTCAAAAAATCCAAAAAACATGTCAACACAGTTAAGCACACACCTTTAATTTCTATTAAACCTGTGTTTATTTATCAAAAATGTTACAATTGTGGTGACACCTTTCATATGGCCAAGAACTGTCCCAAGGAAAGAATCACTAGGCCAGTAAGAGAAGAAAAAGAAGAAAATACTCCTAACCCCAATGGACCCATTGTAAAATGGGTACCTAAAAACTAATTTATCTGTGCTTGCAGGGCTTAGGACACCGACATATATGGCACTTGGACAGTGGATGTTCAAGACACATGACTAGAAACAAGTCCTTGTTGATCAACTATATGTCTGAACCTGATCCTTCTGTAACCTTTGGAGATAATGCCAGAGGTATTACTAAAGGATATGGTGTTCTTTCTAACGGCTCGGTTACCTTCAACCGAGTAGCTTATGTGGATGGACTGAAGCACAATCTGTTAAGCATCAGTTAACTATATGATCTCAACTTCATTGTAAAATTTGAAGAAAACCAATGTACTATTCTTGACTCTTCTGGCAAGAAGGTATTAACTAATATCCGAAAGGATAATGTCTATGTGATCAACATGGATTCTTCTAGCTCTTCCGACGCCAACATCTGTTTCTACTCCGAAGCTACTTCTGATCAAAATTGGCTATTGCATAAAAGATTGTCCCATATCAACTTCAAAACGATCAATAATCTTTCTAGTAAAGATCTGGTTATTGGACTTCCGAAGATGTCATATGTCAAAGTGAAGTTGTGTGCTGCTTGTGAAAAAGACAAGCAAACCAAAGCACGTTTCAAGTCCAAGATGTGCTCTTCTATTTCTGCTCCTTTTCACATGCTCCACATGGATCTCTGTGGTCCTATGAGTGTTCAAAGTTTGGGTGGAAAATATTATACTCTTGTTATTGTGGATGAGTACTCGAGATATACTTGGGTCTTCTTTCTTCAACACAAGAGTGATGCAGCTGAAGAAATTATCAACTTTGTGAAGCGGACTGAAGTCTTGAATGGTCAACTTGTCAGATCAATTCGAAGTGACAACGGCACTGAATTCAAAAATAGTGTTCTTGAAAGCTTCTTTGATGACAAGGGTATTTCTCAAAATTTCTCAGCAGTTCKGACTCCACAGCATAATGGAGTTGTTGAAAGGAGAAATCGTACACTATGTGAAGCTACACGTTCAATTCTAAGTAAAGCAAGTCTTCCGACCTATTTTTGGGCTGAAGCTGTCAATACAACTTGCTTTACTCAAAATAGGTCTATAATTGTGAAAAGACACATTAAGACTTCTTATGAAGTATATCACGGTAGAAAACCAAACATCAGCTTCCTTGATGTGTTTGGTAGTGTATGTTTTATTCTGAATGACAGAGATCAGTTAGGAAAGTTTGATCCTAAATCTGATGAAGGAATCTTTGTTGGTTACTCTCTCTTCTCTAAAGCCTTTCGGGTATACAACATGCGTCGGGAGGGCATTGATGAATCTATCAATGTTAGATTTGATGAATCTGGATCGGTGCTTGCAACATCGTCATTCCAAAGTGATGATCTTGATCTAAAAAAGTGGTTGGAATCTCACTCCTTTGAGAATTCAACTCCAGTCGGTAGACCGTCACACTTTGATGAAGATGTTGTTCCACCTGTTGAGGAAGATGAGAATGAAGATCTTTCATTCAACATGAATATCCCATCGGTCAGTCCTGGACAAGAACCAGCCGATCTGGCACCCCTTTCCTGTGTGGAACCCTCAACTGGTGTCTATGTTCCTATTTCTTCTACTAGGGACATCGGTGACCCAACCTCAGTAGTCGTTTATTCTAATCCTCTGACGAATGCTGACGGTGCCTCTACCTCTCTTCTTCCTCCTCTTCCTCCTGCTACTAAGTGGACCAACTATCACCCAGTGGAGCAAATTATTGGTGATCAGCAAGCAGGTGTCCAAACACGTCGTGGTGCTGGTAATATCTGTTTGTATGTCAATTTTCTATCTCTCATCGAGCCTAAAAGGATTGAAGAAGCCCTTGATGATCCTAGCTGGATCAGTCCTATGCAAGAAGAACTGATGCAATTCGAGCATAACAAAGTTTGGAGACTGTTCCCCCGACCAACCAAAAAAAAATAATTGGCACAAAGTGGATCTTCAGATACAAAATGGATGAGAACGGAACAGTGACTCGAAACAAGGCCCGACTCGTTACCCAAGGATACTGTTGATCCTCTCTCTCATTTGATTTGATGATAATCCCTTGTATCCTATACGAAGTAATTATGTTTCTGTGAATCCCAATTATCAATCAAATCAGATAATCTTCAAAGTAGAATTGATAGAAGAGAGAGAATTTCACCAAGGCTTGAATGTGTATTTCTTGAGAGAGTATGATTACAAAATGATTAGCAAGACTAATTACAATTAAACTACAAATTCTCTATTTATACTAAGAAAGCAATAACACTAACTATTACAAAATGAGAGAAACAACTTGAATACAACTTATCAGCACAGTATTGAACCCAACATTCTCCCCCTTTGGATTCAAGATCGAGAAATGGTAAATCTTGACTTTCTTATCCCAAGAAGCGTTTCAATCCTTCTCAATGCACTCCGATATTGCAATTTGTCATCTAACAGGTTTAGAGCATTAATTAAAAGATACCTTTCTTTTGGACTCATTCTCTCCTTTTCTGCGGCTTTATTTTTGTCGGCTTTAATCTTCTCAAGTGCCCGACGCACCATCTTGATAGTACCATCACAGTACTTATTCAACTCACTGAATCTTATAAATATTTTTATTCGACCTTCAGCATCATAAATCACTTCAAACTCCGGATCTTCAAGAATGATGTAAAGAGGATAGCCTTCAATATCTTCAAGGTCTTGATCTGGTCTTTTCAAATTAATAATCTTCTGGTTATCTTCAAGGCCCATTTGAATATCTAGAACCATCTACACTTTGACATGACTCTTCAAATATCTTTTGATTGCTTCTAGAGCAATAACTGCTCCTTCTCTTTTAACTGTAAGATTCCACAGTTCGTGATACAGATGTTCCAGATCTTCCAAATAAAGATTTGAGAAATCAGCTTCGCTGAATGTCCAGACATGTCCATCCTGCCTTGTAACAGTAAAGACCGGATACCAAACTCTGAGGAGTTTATTAGTATCAATTTGCTTGATGGACACAATACGAAGTCTGGTTCGTACTTGACTTATCAGAAGGCGCTTTGCTTTGAGAAAATGTTTGTACTCCATTCGATATTATCGGGTCTCTTTATGAATCCCGAGAATTTTATCAGCACAAAGAGCTTTTTGATGTCGAAGAAAAATACCGAAGTAGATGTCCTCTAGATAAGGTTCTCTAATCTGAGCTCTATCATACCCTGGAATATTGGCCCGAATTGCAAAAGGTACATAATTCTTGGAAAATATTTCAGTAGGGTCAAATGCCATTCTCGGAGTCTCAGAAACGCCTTGAGACACTGTAGTGGACGGTTCAGCAGTAGTTTGATGATCAGCCTGAAATGGAAATATGGGATCACCTTCATGGATGTCAGTTTCAAAGTCAAAGTAAATATCAGCTAATTCATCAATATTATCTATATCTTCACCGAAATCCTGAACTCCACCCAGTTCTCTAGAAAATGCTTCATTAAAGCCGACATTGGCAGACAAATCCAATAGCAACCTTGTTTCTACTATTGAGTCCGCCGACTTTTCAAGCATTGGCTCGATCATTGGATTTGCCTCCACAACTATCTCCTTTTCAGCTATTCTCTGGCCGGTTTTCCTTTCTTTTGAACTTTCACGAACAGGACTTTCTACATTGATAGTTTCAGAATCTGGCTCCCTTGCAACACCTTCAGCATGAACTGTCGACTCAACCAACCTTTGTCTTTTCCTATCCCCCTCATGATGATCAGGATCATCCGGATCATCATGCTTTCGTTTCAAGGAGGTGGCTTGAGCACGACAAGTGTCTTCTAAGTTTAATACCCTTTCGGTCAGAGCATCAATAAAATTCTGCATCAAAGACAATGCTTGAGTGTTGGATGCAATTAACTTGCTAACTTTTGAAAAATTAGCCGCAACTACATCTTGGAATGCCAAAAACTTTGAGGCCCAAACAGTTGGATTTTCATCTACAAGCTGCCTTAGGAGCCCAACCAAATCTGCATCTACCGCATCAGGATTCTGAGAAGAAATAAGCTTTGCATACAACAGCGACTTGAGCCCATCCATCGATTGTTCTTGTGCCCTCGGAGGTTCAGACACAGGTGGTGGTGACAGCACAGATGGATGTTCTTCAACTGCAGGCTCCTTACCCTTCAACATTCTCTTCAAGCTGAGAATTTGTTCTTCCATATGATCCTGAACAGCCTTTAGGGTGCCGTTCAAATATTCCCTTGACACGAAGTCAGGTAACTAACACCTGGATCACTTAGATTACCAGTTGTAACAACAGTTGAAAAAACTGTTGTGCCTACGTTCAGTGTTGGCGTAATAGTAGCACTGGTMGGACTTCCGACCTGTCCTAGTGGTAAGTCAACAGACTCCACTCTGGTCGTTCCAGCAAGTTCACTAAGAACTGCAGCTTGAGCAACAGATGCTCTCGACTCATGTGTACCTAAGTGTATCGGCTCTAGACTCGAGGTGCATATAATCGATGTCGTAGGTTGGGGCAGAGGCCTACTATCTTCAATATCTACATTCTCCGATTGAGAAGCAGATAGATTATATGCTAAATCCCCATGAGAAAATGAAACAACTACTTGTTGAGAAATAGTTAAGTGGCTAGGAGGGGTGTGCAATTGCATAGCAGGGCTAGCTATGTCTGTTTCAATATCAACATTCAACGAATGAAAGTCGATAGCAGAAGTGGGTGCCCGGCTAACTGTATCAGCTGGGATATGAGCATTTTCTTCATTTTGAGCTCCACTCACACTCTCACCATGTTTTTATCCTTCCCTTTCACTCAACCTCTCAACATTTTCAACTTGTACGCCCTCATCTCCTTCAACTGGAATATCATCCAACAAACGATGCAGATCATCGTAGCTATCACCAAACTCATCAAAATTAATATAAAGAATGAAGACTTGGGCAAGTCTGTTGATCTTGCATTTCAGGAAATATGTCTTCAATATTATCAATAATGGCTCCCACTTGAATATTCTGTGTAACCACAGGATGAACGACATTATCATCATCATCATCATCACCATTATCATCATCATTTGCACCATCCTGAGTTGGCTGATCGTCAGATGTAGCATCTTTCGATCTTGAAGAAGAAGTTGTGGAAGTATTTTTGGTTGAAGTACTATGATGATCAGAGTCTCCCCGCGCCACTCTACCCCTCTCAATTACATTTTCTCTCAGCTCACAACCATGTTCAGGTAACCCGTGTTCCTGAACCGTCTCATCTATTTCTAAACCCTCTCCCTCAGCTAAGACATGGGTTGATC